GCGATTTAATCAATCCGAAATTGATTCGGAGCAGTTTCGGGCCAAGTTGTGGACAACTAGAAAGGAGTCCGATTTTAGATCGATCTAAACTAGAGCGCCTCTCAGATCGGTTAATGTTTTACAACCGAGCTATAATTTCTTGCTCAGCTAGCATGGTTAATTCGCCGGTTAATTCATTCAAGTTTTTAAATTAAGAAGTCCAAGGCCGAAACGGCCTCGGACCGGTTTGAAATCGCTAGGTGTGAACGTCCTCTCATTTGACAGATTGAACTTTGGGCCTAAACGCACATATCGAAAGTGTGGCCAATCATGACGTGGTGTTTGCTAGAAACACGAAGTCGAATCGTATGCAATTATATCGATTACAATGCGTGAAACCCAGCCGTGAAAAAAGTATACTAAAAACTTTGACACTGACATTGATAGTATAAAAAGGCCGTTTCGCCAGTTTCCGTTGGTAGGGATGCAACAACCTGCAAAGTACAAGGACAAATTCGACGTTTCGAGCGAATTAGGCCCTTCGTAACTTCCGGCGGCAAAGTCGAAGGGCCTTTGCTCGAACTGTCGAATTTCTCCTTCTCCTTGTCCTTGTATATTTTTAGATAATTGCATACCTACCGTACGAAAGTTTTGTTATCATTGTCATTTTACCTACACTGGCACAAACCGTTAAGATTACTAAAAGTAAGAATACCCTATCACTGAAATTAATAATTTAAATTCGTCCAATAATGCAATAATTTTACTTTTCTTCAGCAGATTTTTCTTGTTGAAGCATGTCATATCCTTGTTCTTGCCTGAGCGCTCTCTCTTCGCATTTTATGTGTATGCATATCAATTTTTGAAGAACAATAACTCCGTAGACAAATGAACATATAGAGACTGCAATAGCGATAGTGGAATCCATAAACCAAGCTTTCTCGGTGAACTCGAAAACAAGGGCGGTTATGAGGATACTGACCGCAAACAGTGCTCCACATAAAGAATCCATCGCATCGGTCATCAAGGCACCGCTGCCTAGCTTTACAGCGACTGTACGTTTAACCAAGAATAATACTGAATATACAAACAGACTAACGCTTGTTAAGATGACCAATTCTACAGGTTTTTCAGGTTTTTCGCTATGGTAGAGGCAATTGATAGATCTACCTATTATTGCCACGGATGAAACAATTAAACAAACAGCCACGACAGCGGTTGCATTCGTTTCTCGCTTGGCTACAACGTAGCTGCTTGGGTTGTCACTCCAAAAACGCCATATTAAAACAAACGAAGCAATTACAGCGAAAAACGAATCGAAGGCGAAGCCAAATGTGGCCATGCTGTCCGATTCGGTCGAAGTGAAGAATCCGAAAGCAGTTATAACAATGTTACATAGTAGCGTAGCGAATGCAAGCTTCCGTGCGACAACAGATAACTTTATCACAACACTTTCAGGAAGTTTTTGCCTTGGGGGGAACATGGTTTCGTCGATACACGAAACACAAACATTTTCGACTGCCGACTCTCCACTCTCCGAAGTTAAATCCGACGAGTTGTAATCCTCTTGCGGTCGCTCAATTTTGAAACTCAAATCTTCCATCGCGATTACAGCACTCTTTGTCAAATGTTGTATTTAGTGTATATTTTAAAGGTACTAAATCGAGGTTAATCTATTCTTCTATGGTGATGTTGTAGCCATTTTCAGGTGCAACGTTCGCCAGATAGTCTATCTTCTTATATATTCATTCTATCAAAGCATAATACACAAACCAAATATGTTTACGAAACACTGAACTCTTTAGTTGTCTGGCCTTTTAACTTTGAATAATGAGCAATCCTTGAATTCACTGTTTTGTGGGTTTTAGATCTTTATAGTTTCCCAATTTCACTCGTAGTTATAAATACTTACCAGAGTTCTTCGTTGATCTTTGGAACAACTAGGAAACTGATCCCATTAACCGAGTTTAAAAGCAATGTTTGAAATAAAAAATGTTGCTAATACCAATTTGGCGTCTAATTATGGCTTAAATAATATGAATGAATATTCATTTATGTCAAACTAAGAAATTTACATTTGCAATAAAAGGCCGACAGCATGACGAGTTTTCTTAATTGATCCTATTGTGTGGGAATATGCTCATCCCACTCAGCCGCAACTAAGGTTTTTCGACATAATATCATATTGAAGCCCAAATTTGACATCGAAGCCCAAATTTGATGAACAATGGCAGTTAGTTATAGTGTTTGGCGTTAGTGGTTGGCACAATATGCCATTTTTAAAGTCAAGTATGTGAATCAGATCGGATATATATTCGGAATTATTTCACACATCATTGAATGCCCAAACGAGTGTCATCTGCATAAATTAATGAAAATAATTGAAAGAAAAGTTTAAATAACTTTAAAATCTGCATGAAGAAAACAGCGTTACTGATACCAAAAAAGGTACAAAAACATGTACATTGTGGAATAAACATGCTCAAATATTGCGACATTCACGCTTCAAACACAGCAGCGACAAATGGGAATACATGACACTAGACATCTTCCTCTTAAATATATCGGCATTATCGCTATATAAGTAGCATATGTAAGGGCCAGTACTCGTCGTGGGCACTGAAAGTGAAATGTAAAAACAGGTCAATCAAGAACACGTTTCCCTCATGCACAATTGCTGTCTATTGTATTGGTTGAGTCAGAGAAAAATAAAATGGGCGTTGAAAGAAGCACGCCGAGAGTTGCCGGAAGGGGAAAAAATTTGCAGATACATGCAGGGCCGTAGCTAGAACGATAATTGGCGTGTGTATATTCATGTATATTCGTGTTCTGCCCGACGTATTTCTTTTGAAATCGATTGTTTTGTATGTAAACATGAATATATGAATATACACCCCCCCCCCCAATTATCGTGTCTACTACCCCTGGATACATGGCTATAATTTTCTAGCCTTCCCTGCAGGCAACTCATGGGTTTCACTTTCTTGCCCGCAACCAAATTCTGCCCGCCATAAACAGTCCTGTTTATTGGTTTATACTGCGAGTATTGCTCACCTGACTTGAGCCAAGCCAAGGGCAGACCTTGCCAAGGTAATTGTGATACGCTCACAATGTTTACCTGGTTCCTGGCAAGACTTCGCCTAGGCTAACATTTACTGCATTGGGCACACAGCTTCACGTCTCTCCGCTTAATTAAGGGGCTGATTATATGAAGGCAACTTACCCGGCTAAGCGAGTTGAAAACTGCATATAATGAAAGACAAAGATAGATAGATAGATAGATAGATAGATAGATAGATAGATAGATAGTGTATTTAAAATTCACCTTGCAGCTGGACAGCTGAATTGCGTGATTTACAAGAGTATATAAAACATTATTTATGAGCCTAAGCCTTTGATCTAATCTTATGCGCTTTTCAACACGTTTAGCCGGGTAACTCGCCTCCATATAATAAGGGCCTAACTAAGGGCCTGTCGAATGGGATGAAAATTTTTGTGTTCATTCGGACTGTTTTTCCCGCTTCGGTAGGACGAATTATGCAAACATGACGCCATTATCGGAAAATATAGTATACCCTGAAATGTAGTGACATAACCAGGTGAATATATGAATGTAGGCCGGTAGGACTTTTATTATTTCATACGATTATGCTAACAACAGACCGCCATACGTTCCACATAAGTCGGTTGACATGCTATTACATGTAACTACTGGTAAGTGAATATGTGCAGACAACAATTCACACCGGGTTGCTATAAGAATATCGTATTGACGTGATTCATTAGTTTTGCTTTACCCACTTATACTGCGAATATCTAATAACAAATTCTAGCTAATATATGTATAGTCGAACTGCAATGTGAAGTGATCAAGATAGAGTAAGGGCAAAGAGAAAACACTTTGCGTTGATTAGGCGTGCTTCAGGAAAAATACCTTCAAAAATGACAGAACTCTGCCTAGGGCTCTTGTGCAACTATAAAACTAAACCATATATGTCGCATGTTTAAGTCTTGTATCTCTTTAAGAAGGTCCGTGACCATACCTTTTAATTTATATTTTTGTTCTTCTATACGTTTTACATGTCATATCAGAAAATTAGAGAAAAATCATTTCTACAACTTATAATATTTTACATTTTCCCCGCATGATTTCCAAAATAACATGCCTGAGAAGATGGGAAAAGATGGTTTTTGATTTGCTAAAATATCATGTTTTCTTGTATATAATCACTGGATAGACAGTTTAGTACGATCCTTGTTAAAAAATGCAACATAGGTTGAGCAATTGCGATTGTTCCTGTAACTCGTAAAAAGGTCAAGATGCGCCATATGGGGGATCTGACATCCAAAAATCGAAATGTCGACCATACATAGCTCGGTCAAACGGATTGGCGCGAGGAAAACAAACAGCTAAACACATAAACTGTAAGAATAGGTGTGGTGCCTAGCTGCGCTGGGCCGCAATTGTGGACCAAAATCGGCATAGAGTGTCATCTGATTCAGTCAGCTTCCGAAAATGGAAGTGCATGGTCTAGTGGCTCGCAATGTGAAAACGCAACACAGAAAAAAATCATGATTACTAAATTGCATTGATGTCGAAGGAACTAGACTCAGTTCCGAAATATCACGTGCTCGAACCGATCTGACCGCGTAGCTCACTGCCACTGGCAGAGCATTGGGCTAGTATTCCGAAGGTCATGGGTTCGATTCCCACCGTGGCGAGGCATATTTTTCAAGCTTGCCCCGTTAGTAATATAATTGATGTTTTCTCGGTGTACCTATATTTGTCCTGAATTTTATATCGTTAACATAGCTGAGCTTATATGAATAGGCACTTACATTGCGAGCCTTGGGGGGGGGGGCAGTACCCCCCCCCACCCCGCTGTGTACGGCCCTGTCCTGAGCCATGCCAAGGCCAGCACAAGGTAATTCTTTAATTTTGATACGTTTACACCATAGAAATAATACACATAGACGTCTAATATTTCTATGGTTTACACTGTTTAGACTGGCACAAGTCTATGCTTAGGAGAATACCAAGATTTTGGGCATCTCGCTCGATAGAACTAACAGTTGAAAGGTTTTTGTGGATGGAAATTTGGCGGGAGATTATATATAATTTTTAATAACAGCAGCAGCTGTAAAAAAATGCAACTACAGGTTGGCCTATAGTTCAAATCTCCATCCTTAGGACAAACGTAGGCCATCTGCAACGCAGCCTGAGAATCATGTCAGATCCGGAGGCATGCTTAGCTTCTCAGCGGGAAATTATACTACACTGTCTACACTCTACAGTTTCTAACGAGAACATCATTTCTCGCAGTACCTGTTTTCCACG